TTGTTTTCTCCTCCAGATTGTTCATCCAGCCTATCTTATTTAGACACACCTGCGGAGATAATAACATGCACAAAGACAAAGCAAAACCAAGCAACAATATACAACAAAACAACAACAACCAACCACTGACAAAGAACAAATTAAAGCACAACAAGAAAGAAAAGCTTGTAGTTAGTTCGAGGACTGTTTGTTGGCCTTTAGGAGTGCCACGCCCTGGCCCCAAAGTCTGTTTTTGGTCTTCCCTGGGGACTTCGTTGCCCTGTTCCCCTTGCTTTCTGTGGCACACCCTTAGTGTTTTGCCTCGGTGTGGTGGGATCAGATTGGGTGGAATTCCCACACTGTATCTCCAATGTTGTCCCCTGTAGGGCTATGGGTCAGTGAGGGATGCTGTGTCTCATAGTGGGGCCGGCCATATGGCCTTCTGGTCAAGCAACTTTCTGATTATTTGCTTAGTTTGCCCTTGTGTCTCATATGTCATTTCTTTCCGTTTTACCGGGGCTGCTGCTCTGGGTCAGTGTGTGTCAGCATTATCTGCGAGCACAGTCCTGTGCCAGGATTTCACTGGTGTCAAGGTTTAGGTGTTCACCAAGCCAGTTCTCCCAGGCTCCTTTGTTCAGCGCTTGCTTCACAGGGTCCTTTGATCATTCCCTTAGCAGAGCGGCAGAAGTCCCTGCCCTGTGCCTGTCAGAAACCACCGGTGGCTCCCAGGGAGAAAGACTGGGCTTTCTCCTCCCGAAAAGAGTTACAGTCAAGGAAACTCACAGGGCAGTTCTACCCTGTCCTGCAGGGTCGCTATGAGTCAGGATCAACCTGCTGGCAGTGAGTTGGATAGACACAGACACACCTAGGGCAGGGCAGAAACTAGGTGGAGAGAGAAGTCATTGAATCTTCAAGCTCGGGAGGTCAAGGATGGCTGGCAGCTGCTAGAAGCAGAAAGAGACAAGGGAGGTGTTAAGAGTTGATGTCCTGATTTTGATTTCCTCCCTCCAACGCTGTGAGAAGATAAATCATTCCCCT